AAATAGGTACTGGAGAGAGGCTAGATCAGCTGCAAATTGATATTCAAGAATGCATTCTTGATGGGCGATGAGTGATGCTATATTTACTTTGTTTGCTTTCAGTCCTCGTAAATTGAAAACATTATTGTGCGCCAGATGTGCACGCTAATCCCATAAAGACATGTCTGAGTGTCGCTTAGTGTTGGCAATTTCCCAACTGCAAACCTTGAGGAAGGGTTAGATTGTTGAGCATGCCGTCTTAGTTTGAAGACAAGCGTAAATCTCTTATGCAATACTCACATAATATATATAAAAACCTTTAAGCAACTTTCGTAGTGTAGCAGATATCGATATGGGAGTTGTTACAACCATTAAAATGTTCGGGGATACTATGATCCAAAAGCATCTCGTATTTATCATTAGCCTATAAAGCGATACATGAGGCAACGCTAATCTCAGATGATGTTCAGTCGTTTCATTCAGTTGTCCCTTTGGCGCTAACACAGTTTTCTTCGCTTATGTGCAGTTTAAAGTAATTGCGGAAAGCAAACATTTCCGCTTTCAAAGCATAGCCGCTGATATATATGGCGGCATCTATTCAAAATCATAATATTTGCTAATTCTGATTCCATATATAAAAAAAAAAAAAAAAAAACACTCATCCACACTTTCATGTCACCAAAGAGTCATTGAAGCTCTTAGACATTAAACATCTGCCGTCGTCATGTCATTCATATTTATCAACAATTAAGGAAAAAAAGAAAAGAATTCTTTTTCCCATGAGATATTATTTATACATGCATACATGTATGCATATAAAGCAAACGTACCGACACACGCGCGGGCAAATACAGACGCAGACAGTCGGCTATTCATATGGATTCTTACGAGAAATAAATTTCTAGATTTTCCTGGACATGATAAATGACAATGTACGCAATTACCCACGCAACCACGCTTTTAATAGCGATATAATTTATTTTACATTTCCTTACAGGTGCGTTCATTCAAATTTTTTGTCACCCACAGTATTCTTTCTATTAAATGGCGAGCGGTGAGCGACCCAGCCTAATGACCGACCACTCATATTGGACGCTAAACGCATGCAGGCATCTTATGTTTATATGCGTGTATGCATCTAGATATGCATTAGACTGTTAAGTGGGCATATATATGGAAGCCCATCTATAATATATCTACATATCGATACATTGGATATGTTGGCAAGAAGGAAATTTTAGTTTTTTTTGTTTGCTACCTAACTTCCTTCACTTGACTTTACACTTTGACTAGAGTTGGAGATATTGATAGCGAATATTGGCATATTCGTTTTTTCCCACCCAACATAATTAAAAGCACTTACAACACTCTCTGACAGATTTCATAAGTAATGATAAATTCAAACATTTAAACATATGTATGGTTATGTGTAAACATCATGCATGGCTTATAGACACTAACTATGTATATTAAATTTTATATATATATATATACATGTATATTCCAACTAACGAATGTAGGTGTGCATGTGTATAGACAAAATGCGTATCAACAACTTTGTAAACTTCATATACATTATATATTTTTATAAAAAAAAAAAAAAAAAAAAAACAAAAAAAAACAGAAAAAAATGAACAAACACATACGCACTTATATACGCACTAACATATACAAACAAAGTTGTACACGATTGGCAAGCGCGCTCATAATTGCATTTATTTGTTTAAAGCAAGCAATGTTCGATTTTATAAACACACAATAACAACAATAACAACAACAACGAGAATTTCAATTATCGTAATTTGTTATATATGAATATAACGCGTACCTACATACGAATATATATATATATATATATGCACACATACAGATATACATATGTGTATATGCATGCACATGTAAGCGACCGCATGTATGTATATATATTTTTAACTGCCTACATATAATTTTATATGAATTGTTTATAAATGTATTTTATGTCCGTCTAAATATTGGCAAAAATAGTTGTTGGCTTGTGTTCGTGTGCGTGTGTGCGTGTCTGTGTGCGTGCTTTTTTTTGTGGTTTTTAAATAAATATCCGAAAATAGGTTTTTTGTTAATGAAATATTTTCAATGTCAATAACCTCTTTAATAATCTTATCATTTTAAAATAGTGTGTGTGTGTGTGTGTTTTATTTTTATATTTTTATTTAGTTGTTTACTATTTTGTAAAATTTTCAAGTGCAAAACTTATATAGGTGTGTGTATGTGTGTGTGTGTGTGCACATTTTGTTCATTTCATTTAATCTACACGCCGTAATATACTGCTTTGACAGCCTGGTTTGTTAGGCTCTTCGCTGCTGTCGCTTTAAATCATTACTTTGACAAGGATTATATAGTTTGTCTACAAAGAATCTTATAAACTGACATATATGTATATATATATATATATATATATATATGATATATATATATATGTAATATATACATATTATTCTTTACGCTGTGCTCTATAATGCTTATCGTTTTGATAAATTCTCTTCATATTTTTTTTTTCAAATTTTTTTTTTAAGTTCACGGTTAAGTATATTGCTAAGGCTTAAATATATGATACTTAAGAGAATACTTTGAGTGCGACCACTTCCAGTTTTCATTTACTGATGATGACAATGATGAGTAATAAATCTGGTTTATTCAAATTTGAACTAAATCTAAGCATTTTTCAAAGCGATAATCGAAATTTCTCACCCATACACTGAACTCTTAATCACAGTCAATATAACGTAATAATCAGTTAATAAATTCGATATATGGAAATCACTTGATTGCTTGTGGCACATAAGCACTCTTAGGATTGTGAAACCTTATTTGTAGGTGATAAGAAATTACGTTACGTTATTTTCAAATTGCACGTCAATACTTTATAGTATCGACTCGTGTAATAGTGGATTTATCCGCTGGTTACAGCCTTGTTGCAGATTCTACGGTCGAGCATCAAAATTGAATCAAAATTTGTTATAATACAATTTTCTGCTCAATGTAGTGAAGAGATATGTTTAGGTAAAATACGCCCAATTCACTCGCTACAAAGTATTCGTTTTCTATATCTGTTAGGTCAAGAAGAAGGTCGTGGCGTCTTTTCATCCAAGTTCAAAATTGCATTTAATTGAAAACATTGTGTAAAACCGAAATATTTTCTCAGGCCCCGTTTGAAATCAACCACATATCTTTTTGCAGGTTCTGCAGATTGCGAAACGAACGGTATTCTACGGGCCAAGATGGGGTGAATGCGCCAAAATTTATTTGCAAGCGACGCTTTTGCAATTTATTAGTTCTGAACCTTTCATGTCAGTTGTTTGCTTTCATCCAATCAGTGGTTGACGGTGGGAAATGGAATCAATGCTCTAACAGGATTGAAGCAAGTCTTCATGCATTATTCGTTTGCCCCGACCTTTACACAAACAAACAATGGGCCCGATCGGCTCTTTGCTACCGTTTGTACATCTACTTCTCCCCTGAACACGATCTGTTTCGCATATTATCAGCGTATGTGATCTACACCTCCCAGCCTCGGTAACGATTCCGCAAATGGAATTCCGCTCGTCTTTACTCACTGTTTATTCACCTCGTAACCAAATACCCCGATATTTATAGTTAGTTTCCCAGACAATGTTCAGCTCCTCCGCGACGTGGCAAAATTGTGGAATGCTGGTCTTCTTCCACTTTTTAACAGTTTCACCGACTTTTTCAACAATTGATCGAGAAGAACGCGACGCGTTTTTCACAGCAAAATTTCCAGAGCGGAAATGAGCGGTCGATTTTTTTTGTCATCTCACTCCTCACGAATTTCTTCACACGTCTGCGAAGCCCTATCGTTTCGATCAAAGTAGTACCCTAAAATATAGGGAACTGCTTCCGAAATTTGGCTGAGAATTATTTTTGACTGAATAGACAAATGTCACAATGTTTTTTCTTTTTATATAATTATCTATAGACTGACATCTTTCACACCCGCTCTAACAAGGCTTCATAGAATTAGTGTTTCCGGCAACGCATGCTTAACATCACAATGCTTCGTGGCTTGTGGGTTAAATAAGAAGCGCTAACCAGCCTCCTGAGCAGGACAATCCCCTTTATTCACGGGGCTCTATTATGCCCCCGAAGTACAAAAATGAAATTATAGGTGCAGGACATTTCTGCCTCTCTGCATAAGTTGAGGCTTATCCACCATCTCGGCATCGATTTTGCGAGCTGCTTGGACGCGAAGCAACTCCTCAACTTGACAGCCGAAATACTTTAGTAATTCCTTGAATACTATACTTCACTATACGTGAAGTGAATTCTAACACGTAGTGTGTTGCATTAACAACACTGTCAACTGACACGAGTTGAAAAATTAATGAATAACAAGTTAGCAACAACGAAAACTACACGTCTTCGTTTTCGTACGGCCTTGACTTGTGAAATATCTTCCTTTGCCTGTTCCTTTGTCCACGTGCCAAGATCATTTGTCATGTGCATTTCCTTCCTAATATATTTTTAATGTTCTCAGAGACATATCGTCATAGCTGTATTTAGGATAATCTACCCATTATGTGCTATTTCTGTGGTTATGGCCTTCAGGACTCTCCTTAGCTTCTCTATGGAAAGTTTTCCATCGCCCGGAGCCTGCACCGTACCATAATAGGTTTGAATCCTTTTATGGGCGCACTAGAATATACCTTTAAAAGGTTTTTCATATCGTCAACTGCTTATTACACATCCCAAGGTGTTTAGTGTACGCACTATAGATGGAATAATATCTATGATTGTGTGTTGAAAATCATCTTATTGGACCATTTAAAATTATTTATAGGAATGAAAATTGAATCTCGTCTTAAAGATATTGATTGTCGCCTTAGATGTTACATATAACTGGATGAAAGAGAGAGAGAGAGAGAGAGAGAAATGGTATAATTTTCTCTCTGCTATTGTTGTCATATATTAAAACAAAAACTCTAACGTCTCGCATATAAATAATTTCGTATTGTTTGCTATTCTAGACCAAAAAACACTCACCCGGTCATATTAAAAGGCCGATGAATGCGTTTATGGTTTGGAGTCAAATGGAGAGACGGAAAATCTGTGAAAAAACACCCGATTTGCATAATGCGGAAATCTCAAAGGAATTGGGAAGACGGTGGCAATTGCTGGGTAAGGAGGAGAAACAACCCTACATTATCGAGGCAGAGAAATTACGAAAATTGCACATGATCGAGTATCCCAATTACAAATATCGACCTCAGAAGAAACTCTCACGTGCTAGTTCTGCTAATAAAAATAACCCAAATTCGGAAACACAAGGTGAAAACAATGCAGAATTGAATTCATCTGGGTCATCGACGGGCTCTGCCAGTTCATCTGCTGGGCAAAAAAATCATAATGCAAGCGGCGGTAGGGGAGGACGCAAAAAACGTTCTGCAGCTCCGACTTACAATAATTCAACGCATGCTAAGAAACAACGTCACAATAGTACCAAATCAGTCAATTTTAGTACCGACTACGAAGATGACGACGACAATCAAATGGATATCAGCAGTGGTTATTTGAATGCCGCTACCGGCAGTGATTTTTCAATTACCTCAAACAATTTGTACAATACGGACGAATTGAATAACCTGAAGATCGATCCCGATCTAAGCAAGAATGTGATGTTACACGCTAACGCTAATTTAGAAGACAATCTACACAGAATACACCCGCTACCTAGTTTGCAACACTTGAAAACCGAACCCGAAGCGAAATTGGATGATGTACTCAAGTATATGAATCCCGATAATTTCTTTGAATCGTCAGTTGAATTAAAGGAATCAGTTGATTGCAGTTTAGCCGAAATCAATAAACCGCGACAATTACTGACGTTAATAAATCCCTCTAATGAATTGCATAATCAATCAACGACATATGCCAGCGAACTGATTGACAGCACATTCGATACCGATGAAAATGGTATTGTGAACAATGATGCCAATTTACATCCTGCCAGTCAGCAAACAGCTGACCCAATGGAATTTTCGGACCTCAAATTTTCCATATTTAATAATGACACTTTGTCTGGAACTCAGGAGCTGCATACGCAAAATAACAGTAATATACTCATCTGTGATGACATGCTCAGGCTGGACGATGATACAACGCCACATCAACACGATCATCAAGAGTGCTTTGCCACACTGCCATGCAATGAAGACTGCAAAAGCAGAATTAGTAACAGCACTCATAATAACAACAATAACAATACCAGCAACAATAATAATAATAATAATAATAATAATAATAATAACAATAGCAACAATAACAACAACAATAACAGCAATAATAATAGCAGCAATCACCATCATCGTCATCACAATAACCGGTTAACGCCTGGCGATAATGGTCCTTTAACAAGCGGTGCCCAACTGTTTACATTACCCCAGCAAACGGTCACCATGAATATCGAAATACACGACAGCAATGGCAGCCTTCGTTTGAAAAAGAGTGACTCAACATTCCACAAGAATGACACATTGCCCACCGTTAATATACCGTGTGCCACCGAAGATAGCGATTGCTGTATGCTAACGTCAGCGACGCATTCACCTCATCATCATCATCATCACCATCATCATCAGATGGGCTTTTGCGGACATAACGCATTTGGCGGCACCGAGGCGACCGTTAGCAGCATTTGCTCATTTAATAATGGCGATCAATGCGATACCGTTGCTAGCTTGGAACCAACACCAACACCACCACCACTACAAAGTGATCTCAATTATTCTACATACGATACAAACCGAACTCTGTTCGATTTCACTCACGATGACTTGACACCATCGCAATTTTTAAGTAGCCATTTAGAGTTTAACAATCGTTTCGAGTTTCCAAGATTATAAAATATTAAATATTTTATAGAAATTTTAGAAACCCATAAATAATACACATACATAAATACATGTGTGCTTGCTAACATACATACTACACATAATATAAACATTTATATACATAGAAGTAAACACTATATATATTTTAATAACTAAACAACGGATTGCGTAACATTTTTTTATTCAACTTTTTCTATAAATATACAAAAAAAAAAAATCAAAAAAAAAAAAAAACAACAAACATATTTAAAACATAAGCGTAGGATCGTCGTCGTGATACGCGATAATATATTTTATAAGTTTTTAATTAAACAAAAAAAAAAAAGAAGAAAATTAAAATTTAAAAAACTAGTTCTTAAATCCTTAAAAAAGAAAAATATTTTTATAAATGTAAAAATCTAAAAAAAAAAAGATATTTTTATAAAAATTAAATTTAAGGAAAAAATTATTAATTTTAAAGTTAAATGTAAAGAGCAGGAAAAAGAAGGAAATGTTTTATACACACATGTGATTACGTCAGAAAAGAAATTAAATATATTTTTAATGTGAATGTGCGCATATTTATGAGATAGACAAGGAGCAGAATATACAAACATAGTTTTTCTACATTTCTTTAGAGATCTACCCTATATACATATATATATCGCATATATATATATATATATATACATAAATGTATAAATTATATACAAAATATTTGTAGTATGTAAGTTTTAAACATACCTTACCACATACATTTATACATACCTACCATACATCTTTGTCTTCTAAACTTAATTAAAATATAAAAAAAAATTACATACAAATGTTTCATAGAGAAAAAAAAATACAAACAAACGAAAAAAAAAAATATAAAAAATAAAAATAATGATTTTATGAAATCTTCAAATAAATTGAAACAAAAAGCAAAAAAAAAAAAACAAAAAAAAAATTAAACATTTAATGAGTTTCAATTTTGCATCGGACATATCAGATAATTTTAGTGTGTACTCTTGAATTTCATATTAGAATGTCAAGTCTTATGTGCCTAAAACCGGATCGATCACTTTTGCTCTCACATTAATAAAATTAACTCCCATGCTATAAAATTGCATGCAAGAAAAAAGACTCAAAAAGTTAGTGTTTTTGAATAAGTGCCTATGAGACGATCGCGAATTTCAGACCACTTGTTGATTGTTCAGAGTTGTAATTGAATTTGGTAACATCTGAGAGTAATTAAATGAGTGAGACCGAATTTGCTAACATCTGAGAAAACATTGAAAAAGTTAGTCTCAATTTGTTCACAATCGCCTGTTGCATTGAAAAATCGAGTCTGAATTTGGTAACATCTGAGAGAAATTAAATGAACAAGCCCGAATTTGGTCACATCTGAGAAGTTTACAACACGGTTCTCTGTTCTCTCGATACGAAGCAGGAGGTTGTACCTCCTTCTAAAGGTATCTGATGAAATTGAAGGAATTACATGGGACTACGAAGTGCGTATGAATATATTTTACAAATACACGCAACCGGCAAAATAAATTCAAAGAGTTTTACGACTTAATGCAGGAACTTCTAAAGCAGCACCAAGAGCCATCTAAATTGCCAAAAGATATATTAAGAACTGCTTTGGATACTTTTTCCAAGGCTTCAACGAAATTGAAGATATCTCTGAATTGTTTGAGAACCTTCGAGAAATTGCAATATTTGTAAAGCGTTTGGATAACAAAGATATGGCATTAGGTGAGCATGAAATTCTTCTTCGCTTTCTCGAATATATTTATAACAAGGGCCGAGCATTGTATTGGAAAAAACTTTGCAAATATTTGTACATTTGTTTTAAAAAAAATTTTTTTTTTTTTATATTAAAGATCCCTGCATAAACTCTCACCCGGATGAAAATTTCAATTGCTTTTATTTTAGACAGGGAGTTGGCTATAGTTTATATTTATTTATTTATCCAAACAAGCTCCATGTAAGGCTTTTTCTCCGTTGGCTGCAAACCTGCTACTGTATAGTAAAGTAGTTAAGCGCGCTACTATCAACTATGATTGCCGTGTGGTCGTAGCTGGATGCGGCTGGCCTCTATCCCTCTCTCTTTCTACCTACTTATTTGAAATCATCACCGTGAACTCATCATGTGGCTTCTCACGTCTAACTGGTCATATAAAAAATAATTAAATATTATTGCTCAATGCGGTTGCTTTGGGCAAATTGGGGAAGATTGCATTCCGAAGATGGCGCTGCGGCGTTTTTTGAAAATAAAATTTCGTGAAATATTTTACGCAGGCAATTGCTTAGGAGGATTGCTGCAAAGATTCAAACTTTCGACAACGAAGATGAAGATTACCTTATAAGCGATTGCTTAGGGCAATACCGGGTCTAACCTTTATAAAAACATTTAAAGTTTCGTCAACGAAGATCGGTAAAAATTCCACGCACACGAAGGAAATTAGGAAATTGTGAAACCCAAGTTTTCGAAAACGAAAAACGCTAATGGCTTACTGGTCTCATCAAGAAATCGATGGCATCATTGCATTTTTTTTACTTTTGGCTTTTATATATATAGGTCAAGTTTTCGCAATATTGATTGGTTGTTTCCGTATCAAAACCAATAATGGCCCGTTAACAAGGTAAATTAACACCTCCGGTCAGGTCAACCAATTGAGGCCCTATATGAAGAACGTCGTATTTTTTTGCCAGAAGATGACAAACTAGAATCATTAATGGCAAATATTATGTCTGGCGGCATTGCGTAAATTGGAGGAGATTGGTTTCAACGAGACGTTGTCAGAAGATTTGAATGTTTTATGTTTATCGGAACGACTACTTTTCACAAAAAGATTGGAACTTTTGCGAACGAAGCGCCGGACCGACATTTTATAAAATGATTTCTTCTTACGACTTTGCATGCAAAAGTCTACGCAATCACCGCATGTGCCTCTGAATCCTTAAGAACGCAGTGTAGCAAAGAGTGGATCCGCATATACTCCGACAGCCAAGCCGCCTTTAAGGCCCTAAATGAGCGAATGATAACATCTGGAGTTGGAGTTGGAATGCCGTCAAACACTGAATGAGCTAATCAGGCCCAATATAGTGCACCTAATATGGACGCCTAGCCATTCGGATGTTGAGGACAACGAAAGGGGTGATTGCATAGCCAACAGGGCAGTCCGAGGAGCCTAAGCTTTCCGTGGCGTACCAAGAAATCACATTAGTAAGCTGCTATCACATTAAGCATAGAATAAAGCGAATTGCCGTTGGAAGCAATGTGTAAGACAACGGCAGGCGAAAAGATTCATTTTGTAGCCGGCTTCTACACGGATCATAGTTCCCTTAGGAAAAATCTACAAACATGGGTTTACAGTGGATACCGTTTCATGCAGATTCTGCCAAGGGACGAGTGAGACGTTCCATCATATTATACGTGAATGTGAGACCATCTGAAGAATCAGACACCTTGCGTTTGGCAAGGGTCAAAGAAGGTGGCGGAATTCATAACAATCCTAAAGCTGGAGGGCTAGGGGCGTGGCCGTGTACAATATATTTTCTAGGCCGCAGTTGTTTTGCCCACGTAGTTAATAATTAATAATACGACTTTGCATAATGTAGAAAAAACAATGTTAAGATAGTAACGTGGAGTAGTTCAAAAGATTTCATTACAAGCGAAAAATCCTTCGCTGGATGTGCTAAGCTTGTGCACAGATATTTTCACGACAAATATTTTACTGAGATAAGACGGATCTATCTATCAAGTGAATTATTTAATAGGACTATTTGTCCTAACATTTAAACCACTTACACTCCATTTCCGGTTGTAATTATGCCTACGTGTGTTGGACGCATTCTCTGAATGATTGGGAATTTAAAATCGAAACAAGAAACCATTGGTTCGTGGAAAGGGATGTGCATCCCTTCGTTAAAGAAATAAGTTTATCGATTAAATATATGTGAAGATCGTATGACTATCACATCGATGTTGAGAAATCTGTAAGGGAGACTTTCGTGATATATTTTAAATGAATGCTTCCGTTCTCCGACAAGTAAAGGACATTTTAGCATCCGTAACAATTATTTGTAAAATAATCATTCAAGTGTTTTTACAAAATCTCCTAAACAAAACTATGCTAAATAATTTTTCAACATTTAAATTAAATTTCTATAGATCGTTATTGTCATGTATGTACATTATGTTACAAAATATTAGCAATGTTATAATGACAAAGTTGTATTCGCATAAATGAAGATAACCTAATTAATAATAAGTTTGGCAACACTTACTTAGTTAACGTTATCTCTACCGTTAATGACTTACGTTCTTTATGAAATCAACCGTCACGCAACAAATGATTGCGAGCTATCTTGCATCACCAATCATCATCGTCAAGTGATTTTATTTAAATTGATTTATTTATTTTATTTATTTTTTTTTTATAAAATTTAAAAAATTTAGTTTTAACAAGCATTTATACAATTACACAAAGATATATATATATGTACGTATATATACGTTCATATGTATAAACCGGAAGGAAGAACAAAAAAGTATTATTTCTTTTTTTTTTTACATATTTATTAACCGATTCTTTGCAGAATTTATAAGCAAACGTTTATTCTCTAACTTAACCTAAATACACATATATATAAACAAATGTATATATATATACATATATATATATACATTTAAAGCCCATTAACATGTATACACGGTAGCAAAAGACAATTAAATGCTAAGAAAATGAAAGGATTTTTTTTTTTTTGTGCGTAATAAAATTTCATACGAATGGAAAAACGGTATGCGTGCACATATACGTATACACATTAAGTCCATTGGAAAATTCTGTCCATTCCGGTTCAATAAGTATTCATGTGAGGCATATTTGGGTCTTGCTTTTTATCACCGAATGTCTACCTGCGGATTATTGATATTAGTATTAAGTGAGACAGGATTGTGTATTCATGGCTAGCTAGTGGCATTCACGCCATTGTATTTTGTACGAAAGCAAAATGCCACAGAAGCATGCAGAAATTTATTGAAAGAATTTGGTGAAGTGGTACCCTTTCTGATATAGAACATGCAGAAGATCGTTCGAGAAATTTCATATACTTAATTTTGACCATTCTGATGAACGCCTTGGGCGACTACCTTTGATCGATACTGTCAAGATCACGTTAGAGGAAAATCCTTCTTAGACAATCTAAATTCGAAGATCGTTCAAAGAAATCATTTCGGACCATAACCGGAAACTAGAATTTGGTTTTTTGCATAAAACGGACAGAACTTTTCGGTACACCCGTTACTTATACACACGCATATATACTCATGTATATTGTTCGTTTATGATCACAGTGAACTGTTGAATATTTATTGTATGTTTTTATTCTTGATTATCGATTCTTAAGTACACAGAAAAGCAATAGATGTCAAATCAAAAATATTTGAAAAAATAGTAATAATAATAACGATAATAATAATACAAATCAGTAAAAGTGTAACGCATACACATGAAGAGAGTATAAAGATATAGAGAACACAGGGACTGGGAATATAAACTGGGAAGGAATTAAAAAACCTATAAAACTAGAGTTTACATATACATATAAAACACCCACTTGATAAAATTATTACACTATGAAAATAAAAAAAATAAAATAAAAATTTGTTCTTCTTTTTGATCCACATCCACATAAATGGTATCCATGTAAGTAGTACAAAAGTATACATATATATATATATATATAAAAATAAAAACTCATTTACATTACATTAAACAAAAAAAAAAAAAAAAAAAAAAAAAAAAAACAAGTTCACTTTTGTAACAAAACTTAACTTATAAAACTAATCGCTCGCTGCTTGTTATGAACGCGATTCTAATTTTTGATCTCCTTTAATACTAAACTATTAATATCTTTCCTTGGCCATCTTTTTCTGCATATCGATTTGAGCCGTAGCCAAATAATTATTACCTTCCAGGTGTAAAGTACTTTGTCGGTGAGAGTTACGTATCAAGCAAAAGACAGATATTAAGAGCAATAAGGCACCGATGGCGAAAAAGATAATCGTCAATATTACACGTATCTTAGGCGGCACGGTGGTAGCGAAATTCATGAGATCTGTAATCTCATCGGGCAAATAATCGATGCCTTCTTCAAACCATAATATAGGGAAAATAATATCGGGAAAGTTGGCAACTTGTTTAATATCGAATACTTGACTAACAGCCAAATTAATTTGAACGCGGGCTCTGGCCCTTAACGTGGTGCCCATAACCTACAAAAGAAAGAAATGCTCATATAATACTCTTCTCTTTTGCATTCTTTTCCGCAAAAAAAATACGAAAACCTACCGGCTGTACATCAATAAACAATTGATGTTTTTCTTTTTCGGGCGGCGAAATACCCTCAATAGCAGTACGTAAACTATCATCGGCTAAATAGAAATGTGGGAAACTCAACATTACCGGCGAGTCTGCAAAGCGAAACGCAAAGGAAAGTAATGTTATCTCAACTTCCTACGATTTTTCTCATTCATTTATATTTACCGTATTGACAAAGGGATACATTAAATAGGCCATTGGGGGCACAACTTGGTTGCCCGGCAGGACAAAAGCACATATTACCGGGATTTCTTTCGACATCAGCGAACACATTAGTGGGCGGTGAAAAGCGGAAACCTTTAACGCCACCTTTCGTTTCGACTTCCTTTTCAAAGTGCAAAGGCATCAAGCGACATAAATCCTTATCGTATATATATAAAATGCGTTGTTCATCGATATGCGGTGGGAAGATCGAGCCATCAGTACCATTCAACGTATTACATTCCTCGGATAACCAGTGAGGCAAATGAGATTTGCCATTATATTTATCGATAATGCCAAATTTCGTTACATCCTCTACGCCCGAAAATATCGTGACGCGATCCTGTATATTTCGTATAGGAATGACTTATAGAAATTTTGAAAAAAAAAAAAAAATGAATTAATTATTTACGTACCGGGGAAGTACCATTTTTGCCATACATCAAACCAAACTCTTCGTAGGGTAGTTTTTGTTCTTTTGGCACAACGTCTTTGGCGAGTTTCAATAGCGGATCCTCATAGCCCCATAGCAATTGCCCCACTGAAACCTGAACGAATGGTTTGATTTTTAAAATATCCATAATGCTAGCCATGGCTAAGCGAAGAAATCTGAATTAACGGAAATGTAAAGAAAGAAAGGAAGATCATAATGTCATATGTGTATTATAGAAAAGTAAAAATGTTGTCTGCTAGAAGGGAAAGCATAAGAATCTGGTAGAAAATATTGAATACGATCGTCTAGAAATGTCCTTTTCTTTGTGACCTTTTTCTTAACAAAGAATTTAGGTCTAAAAGAATATCCCGATCTTTGCCTGTGATTGAAATTCTCAAAAACAAAGATATCCACTCTGACGGAAAGTTCTGCTCGTTCTGCCTCAAAAGTGTGCACCTATTTATTTGACTTGCTCTCTTTTGATCGCTGAATATATACATATATATATATAGCGATCTCATAAATAAACTGATGATGACGTCGACGACGATAACTCGCGTTGGAATTAAGTGATACGAGATCGTACACTTACGGTTAGTGATAAAGTTGATTTCCGCCCTTGTATTGTGCACAGATTCCAAAAAGAAAGAAATGCTACAGAAGTGTGCAAAAAATATTGAATGAAGTGCTACAGTTTCTGACAGAAAGTGGTTCCAAAAATTTCAAATTCCGTAAAATCTTCACAATAATATGCACTTTTTTTCACAGTTTGATCCGGAAGAACAAAGTATTACTCTCGTGTAAAAATTAGAGGAATGGTTTTCAAACATCGAACAACGAAATAATTGGTTGAAATGCGTTTGGGGGCATCGTTTAGGTGGTGCACGGAAACCGGCTTCCGTGTTGGTCCTCGATTCGTTTCGGTGCCATTGGATGCCTTTCCTTCAGAAGGAAATGCGACAAATAAAGTTGGCTCAGGTTATTATTCCAAGCGGCATGACCCGTCTGCTGCAACCTTTTCTGTCAATAAGATGACGAAGGAAGCTATTCGTCGGAAATGAAACGCATGGCTAAGCGACGGTCATCGCACATGTATTGCAGGCGAAATTAGGTCCGTTTATTATTAAACGAGGCTTTCTCGAAAGCATAGGTCTCCCTCTTCCTGGCTAAACAATAATGTTAGTCAATTTGATTAATTTTTTTAAAAGATTCAATTGCAACTACGAGATAATCCCCTAAACCAACATATAATATTCCAAGGTTAAGTAAGTCGTTCTTAACCTATGCCTTCAACTACTGTGAAGCGTTCCAGCTTAGCCAGTTCTTTCCCCCTTAAGCTCATAATACTTTAGGTACTTTATACCCAACCTAGTTCCTACTAAAGACCCATTTAGGAAATTACTAAAGCGTAAGCACCCCATAATCAATTTGGTAGCCATTGTGTGCTGGAAAATGCTATTCTTTCTGAGACAATTGTACTCTTTTTCACTTCATATGTCCTTGGATGCAGACTTTCGCTAAACGAGATTTTTACTAAGAAACGCAAGGTCCGTAATAAATCACAACTTTAACTATCTTAATTTAAGGAAAAAGTCTAGCGTTATATCCCATTGATGATCAGGTGCTAAGCAATGATAGCATGATTTAAGTGAAGCGTTATTGAAATGCATTTCAAGACCTGAGCTAATAACTTAAACAATTAGGAGGATAGAACAATAAAATGTAAGCAAACCAGCTGCCTAGTGAAGCTCAATTGAGAAGCAGAGAAAATATGCGAATATTGTTATATATTAGTTATATGTTTGCTTACAAGGCTTTTTAAACATTAATAACTATTAGAAATAGTGACTCAACTTCCCTTTCATGTTTGCTCATTGAATGATTTGAATCTATAATGAACTGAAGTGCATTTCATTAATAAGATTTAAATGTTAAAAATCGACAAATATCAATAAGCTGTGGTCTAGAAGATTAGAAGCAAATTGTTAAGAGACATTGTTGAAACGCATTGAACTGAAATGATTGTTTGTTCAATTTCGCCATTCATCAGTCCTAACGTCGAATGTCATGTTAATTTAAAATTTTTATTATCTCGTGTATTTTATCCACTCCTTTAGTCTATCTTTTAATAGACAAACACCTTAATTATAATAGATATTATGAGATTTGTTGACGTTGAGCCTATCCGATTGCCTCTTTTCCCCCCTATGAAAATAGGTTGCTTGTGTTGTCCTTACCGTTTCTCGAGAAACGTAGATTTGTTCTTGGCGTTTCCTTCGTAATCAAAGTAATAAACGGTGCTATTGACTCGCCTGCATTACTTGGTAAAATAAGCTTTAATGTCCCTAACCGCTTCTCTAGGCACTTTATCTTGGTTAAGCTTAGTCAGTGTAAATATAATTATGAGCTGTTTAACCCGTTCAGAGTTGTTTGCAAGAACCTAAATGATGTCTATCACTTACTCTCATTATCGGACTCTTTAAAATCCATTAAAGCAACATTGCTTAATGCGCGTAATTTACCTATGTCCTTACCTTTAGCTAGCTCTTAACCTTAAAATGTCACGATGAGTCGAAAATGAATTGTTGTTAACTATTATCGGTAGCCAAGCTTATGCATGTATGCATTGCATTCGCAATTTGGTCCCGTACCGGTTGTGGGTGTGGCTCTATTCTAGCTGTGTACATGCTTTTTCCCTTTTTTTTCCTTCCTATTTGTTTTATTGCACCTACGCTAACTTTTAATATTAATTTATTTAAGATTTACTTTAAGAGTCATTTGAACTTGACAGTCAAAATTTTTAGTTGAGATATTTGCATAAACTGCAAAAGTGGAAAAATTAATGCAAATTAATAATAGTAAGTAAGTATCAGCGAAATGTTATGTTTATTTCTTGGGCATACTTCGGCGACAACCAAACTTGTGCAGGCTTAATTGCTTTTAGAGTGAACATAATAAGGTATTAAGAGATAATATATTGGAATATAAAGAGGCTTGGACACACCACGTGTTCACTTGCTTCAGCATCAATCTTATAGTGAAAAAGTTAAAAAGATGAACACAATTGGAATTAGCGACGAAATTCTGTGATTTTTTTATACTAAAAAGTGGTGGAAGAAAAAATTTAGTTACGCGAATTTATTAATAATGAAATTTCATCACTACAGGCAACAGTTTGTCTGTCGTAGGCATAATTTGGAAGCACTACATACCTCGCGATTGTAGGATGATAAGGAAAATGTCACTAACATGGCAGAGAGAGAGAGAGTCAGGTTATTGAAAATAAAATTCGATGTTAGATATGCATATATATATATATATATATATATACATTTAAATATACATATCGATATAAACTTTTGTATTAAATATGTTAATAATCACATTACCTGGCCGCATGTTTACTCTGCGAGGTAGCACTCAGCATTGGTATATTAGGTACTATGACTACATCATCATCGGAACCAGCCGATAATTCTTCACGGAAGACATAGATTTTTCTTACATTATAGCTCAGCGTGCCATTCTCATTCTTGACTATGTTCACCTTTTCCCATGACTCTCTAAAATATTACACAAAAATCATGTTAATTAAAATGAAATTAAAAAAGAAAACAGAATTTATTCTCGCTTAACATTATACTTACGTGTAGACATAAGGACCGACTTCGTTTACAATTGGCTTAGAGCCGTTGCTTAAAAATTCATTGGCATTCGTTACGTTATAAACGTAAACCGATATTTTCGGTTCTACCGGGGGCTTTGCCCACCAGCCATATGTCTGACCACCTGGTCGTAAAGCCACTTGATAGTCAACCACCGCATTGATTAATGTGAAGAAATAACAAACAACCAAAATGCCCAGTATAAGTAATAACACGGAAACGGCTATTGTGAACCCTGATGTATGACAACGAAATCAAGGCAAGGCCAGCGAAAAAAAAAAAAAAAAACAAAAGACAAAAAAAAAATAAATAAATAAATAACGTGGAGAAAAACGTAAGAGACAAAGAAAATTTTATATAATTAAATGTATTAAAAAAAAAAAAAGAAAGAAATACCGGGAAATGTGAGTGATTATCCTATAATCAGATGAAAGTGGATACACACATACATACATACATACATACATACATACATACATTTTTAAATTACATATATATATACCCACATACATACATACGAACATATTGTCTATATATACATATATATAATTGAAGTGAATATGTACGTGTGTGTGCGTGTATGTGAGTCTTATACCTACAAATTAATAACTGTTTACGTATCTACAAAAGCATTTAAGCAAACAATTATAATAAAAAAAAAAAATAAAAAAATAAATGAGAAAAAAATATGGTTTTTATTGTAAACTTTAATTTAATTGTATAGCAAAACCAACAATAAGAACAACAACAACAACAACAGCAACATTAACCACAGCAATAATGATAATTCAATGACCATTTTGATCTTAAAACGACACGTTCATCATTCAAAGTTGCATATAATTCATTAACGAGATGTGTTAAAAACGTAAGAAATTGCCATCGGTGTTGTTGGTGTTTTTGTCGCAATGGACGTTCGCTTTTCTTTTTCTCTCTCCGCTTTCAATTCATTTATTACATTGTTTTTTTTTTTTTTTATTTTTATTTTTTTTTTATACATGTATATATGAAAGACAATAAGAACAACAACAGCAACAACGATAATAATAAGAATGCAAAGAATTTTACAGAACAATAAAACGCTTACGCAGCCTTTAGCTGTATGTTGACTCGAATATAAATCATATTTAATTAAAAAATTGTCAAGATGAAGATTTAAGATGTGAACGATGAACGATGAACGTGCCCATACTTATCCATACTTATCCGTACATATATTATTGTTTATGCAATTATATGACTAAGTAGGCGTAAATGTCTATAAAACTTTCAGAAAAAATTTTGATACGTAAACGCACATGCATGCCTTCCTGCATACGTACATAGATGAATGCATACATGCACGCATGCAAATTCGTTTTTAAGTAATTATTGTTGTTGTGAAGTAAGCTTTTCCTGTTTATGAAAATTTCTAAGAAAAATTTACAATACAAACGCGATACACAAACACATATGCATAATTTAGACAAATATCGTTCGTCTCCATCAAATTCCACCATTTTTTATTCGATCAAATGATTCATAATAATTAAAATGTGCAACAATTGCCACTAATTCACTTGAACATGTTGTTTGTCATTTAATTCATGGCAGAGCAATTAATTTGCTAAATCGATAATTTTCATATAATTAATCAAAGTCTAATTTCTAGGTGATAGTTAATCATTCACTAAATTTCTCTAAAAATAAGAAAAAAAAAAAAGAAAACGGAACTTATAACTAACATCTATTAACTGACCTAAGGCGAAAGGAAAAAGAAACAGATAAAGTTGAACAACAGCAGCAATAACGTCAGAGATGATACATAAGATTGACTTTCCTTCAGGTCTTTTATGAGGAAATGTATCCGAAAAATATGAAATACACATAGATAGATAGGTGGATACGTGGATAGGTGGATGATTTAAATCAATTTTTGGTACCAATTTTCGTCATAAAATACAAAAAGTTGGACTTTATTCTCATGTAAAGGTTTACTTTCTCTAAAAACATTATGTGCGAGTAGAGTTCAAAAAATAGTTGCATCTCATCTATTCGCTCAGTATTCATTTATTTTGCTAAGGTCGAGTTTCTTCTCAAAAAATATGAAAAATTGAAATTGTGCCGTTAAGAGAAAAGTTATGAAGACTTCGTGATTCCATGGGTCAGGGTGTTTCCATCTTCATTAAAACATTTCGAAAATAAAAATCTGTAAATAGAATACAAAAATACATGGGCAGACATAAAGTGGACAGACGGAAAGACATGCATAAATCAATTTGGAAAATGACTCGGAATTGCTTGGTATAATAAGTCAGCGAGTCTTCCTTAAGTTCTTCAAGGAGTTGGGTACATTCGCATAAATTTAATACATCCTGTGCCGCAAGTGGTGTAGAATACAAAGAATATTTTCTTAATCACTAATGAGTGTCAGTAAGGAATTAAGAGATAAAGTTGGCACACAGGAGGGGTCTTCTACATATGTACCGTTCTCAAAAAATGTAGAGAACTTGTATAGGTTATATAATGATTGCTCAGCAGTGGTCTCTGAGTATAAAAAGAGATTTTCGATGAGTAGAATGAGGCATATTCTATGGATAAGAATACGTGGAAGATGCCTCCTAAACATATGATCTTTTGGTTGGATTTTACTGCATCTGTCCTTGTTTCCTCGATCCTTACAGTGCGAAAAGTTGGGGAAAGTGCTTGCTTAAAGCCTTTGCACACAGCCTTATTGCTAACCTTAGCAATTTTTGATACAAGTACGAATTTCCCCATAAACATGGTTAAACCGATGATTCAGAAAATGGCTCTTAATCGATTTGTATGATATAATAAATAAGATGGATCTTCCCTGAATTCGTCCGGGTGTTATATAACCTACATTCGCACAAACCTAATATAGTCTGCAGCACAGATGCTATAGAGTGCAAGGAAGATTTTCCTAAGTATCAGTGAGTAGCAGCAAGCAATAAGGATATCTTTACTGTCTAAATTGGAACCTAGCGAGAGATCTTTTAATTTTTGAATACAATTTTCTCGATGTCGATCCAAGGTGGCTGTTATCGAAAGTTAATTCTAAAGCGTACGTCATTATCTTATTTATACAAAAAAATGTAATCGGAAATTATTATCTTTGATTTCCTTTCTCATTGATATTTGATTCTTTTTTATGATGTGGAAAGTTCCGCAAGTGGTCGGGGTTTGCCGCTTGTTTTCATATTTACTTCCAGAGTATCTTCTCAATTTTTCATTACATATCGATGACGTGAAATCTATAACATAAACACCGATTTTTACAAATACTTCTCAAGGCTATGAGAGTATGTTGACAGGGACTTCGCACCGACCCTGAGCTGACCCTGAGTAAACACATTCTGAAAAAGATGATTCGTATTCATTTGTCTTTTCAAGCGCGATAAGTCAATGACTTGGAGTCAACTGAGCATCTGAGCTGAGCATGAATGCAGAAAATTTAGCATCGTTAGACGGCCTTTATACATTTTCGACATATAAAACAACTTTTAGGAAATTCTTCGTACTGGCGACAAGGCTCATCTCAAGCAGCTGATCTCGTTTATCAAATTTAGTGGATTTTCTTTTTCATTCAATTTGATTCCATTTTAATTATTACTTTTGTTTTTTCTCCCAGTGTCTAATTAGTGCTCAAATGCAGCCAAAGCTTGCAATCAATATTCTGGGAATAACTCCGAAATTGACAGTACTTAAGTGACCACATTTACATCTCTGCTTGCTAATAAACGGGAGGCGCATTACTAAGTTTTCCTGGAAATCATCGTAACTGCTTCTATCAGCTGTAGATCCAAAAGAAGAACTTACATTAAAAATTAATCACGTTACTCGATGTGTAGGTCTTAGGTGTCAACAGACCTATCTCACTCAACTAAAACAAAAAAAAAAAAACAATTTTCTCGTCGTTACTTGACCCAATACTTTTATTTGAAATGCCCTAAGTCCAATTAAAATTTTATAGATAGATAAGTAGGTTTTATTTTGGCGGAGTTTGTTGTTTCAGTTTTAATAATAAAATATTGGACAACAAAGTTTAAACGAGGCTGTACGAGACGCCTGCATAAACAAGGGTACGGTCGACACTATGAAGTGACTACGTGTGACAAGCGTTAAAGAATATTCAATAACTACCAGGCACGGACGACATTTCAAAAATATCTTTATTTTGCTTAATAACAGAAATCTCGAAGAGGAAAAAGCTGGTCGCCCCAATGCGATTCACACACTCAAGCCATTGCGAAAATTCATACATGTCATGTGTGTTACGCACGAAGCCAAGAAGCTAAACATGCATCCTATCAGCTTCACTCATCTATATGGATTTGTTTATTGCATACAAATATGAAAAGACTTCACGTTGGTGGCAGGTTTGTCAATAATACAGTGCTGGAGTGCACTGTTGAAAGCTAATTATAAAAATTTGAAGTTTCCCAATATAAACTGAATATCGCGACTTTTGAACATCGCTGGGAAAAGTATAGTGAGCTAAAAGGAGACTATGTCACTTCTTCTTTTTTCACACTCAGGGGATGTCCTTTATACACCTAACTCGACGAGCATTAGAGTTGTGACATTAGAGTTGTGGCTTTACTGGCGAAGCACTCGCTATAGTTCCGACCAAGCATGATTTGCATCCAAGAATCCCAACTTTCCAATCGCGACTCTTATGCACTCGTTCGTACAAGGAAACGAAGATGTATTACGTATGGAAATGTATACATGTATCGTTCGCTGACTATTTTGAGTTTTCTTTGGCGAGTCAGACGTTTCTTTTCGTTATGGAAGGCATAATTGACTTTAAGCAGAGAAAAATTCTCAGGGACAAAAGTACATGTTTTTGGCCATTAAAACCTTGATGTTGCATTCATAAGCATCGTGTGAATCAATGTATAGACGACGAACAATCATTACGTAGTCAAAGTGATAAGTATAACTAAGAGCCCTTATAAATTGGGCCCACCGTTTGTTTTGATAGCCGCCGGGCCTTGGACGAATCTTAAATGTAATTCTAATACGTATTTCTACAACAAAAAACACTTATGTAAAACTTTATTTTACATTCTGCGATATAAAATTATTATACATTCTTGCCTTCGTTTAAAACGTAAGATTTGTTTCATTCATTTATTTATTTACATCTTGTTTTTTTTTTTTTCATTTAACTCTTATGTATTAAATACTTATCATACTTAGTGAAATAGAATTTCATGTAAATGAAATCAAAAGCAATTTCAATCTGAATACATAGTAGTGTGAATGTATTGTTGTGCGTGTGTACGTTTACAATTATGTAGTGTACAAAAAAAAAAAAAAAACAATAACGAAAATAAAAAAGCGGTACTTACACCATTTTCTTAGATAAGCACTCGATAGTTTCGTACAGAGCTTGTGTTGTTGGCCATTCATTTTAGGACTTTTCACTATTGTCATCAAACACTAACTGCAAGAAAAAATGGAACGGCGAAAAGGAAAAAAAAAATGACTTAATAAATAACAGAAGACATGCAAAGAGAGCAAGAAATGGCGGCGAAACGGAAAGGAAGCATTTGTAAAATAATTACAGAAAAAAAAAAAAAGCAAAGGTTATGTAATTTTTTTTTGGCATTAGTTTATGTTTGTTGTGCTTTTTTTTTCTTTCTTTTTTTCTTTTTCTCTTTCTCTCTCCCTCTTTGTTATTGTTTTGTAAAACATGTGAAAGTTGCTGAATGTTTATAATCGCATTAGAGTGATTCATAAAACTGTGTTTTAATAAAAAACTTTCTAATTTTTTTTATGATTCTTTTATTTAAAAAATCTCAAGAAAAGTTCACTTTACCCATAATCGGTGAGGAAGTTTAATACTTGTCCAGCTTAAAAATTATCATTAGGGATTTCGTTACATACAAATTCCTTTGATTTGCTAATCAATGCAATCGCAATGTCGGTTCAATTTTTCAGTATCAGCTTTACTTCATTTCCACTCTTTCACTTTGCTCTTTTAGCCACCAACGACGGAGTTAAGCAATGGGAGTGTGATTTCTGTAAGTTCTACGTATTTTTTTTTTTTTTTTGGCAAAATTCTGGATCAGTTCAAAAATGCTTGTCCTACCATGTTTCAATCTTTCATTATCAACTTTAATTTATTTTCAATTAATCTGTTTGCTTGTTGCCCCCTTACCCCATAGTGAAAGTGGGAAATGACGGATAATTTCAAATTCCCATAAGCGTAAATTCAGTGTCAATGTAGCTTTTTACGCAAAATCTTTTCTAAAATCAACTTAAATTCAATCTCAGTCCCATTACCCACTCGATATGCCTTATTAGTGGTAGCATGAGGTCTTGAGCAGTTCAGTTATAAGAATGAAATTCCCATGGCCTCAAACACCATTCTTGCATATCTTATTTTCACAATTGTCCCACCGTGCCGGCATCGAAGGTGTGAGGATCTACTAGTTGTAATATTCTTCAAGTCCAAAAACGTGCGCAAGAGAGAACATAAATATTTTTTCTTTAATACAAATTCGTTATTAGTGTTTAGATTTGAATTCAATTTGATTATAACCGTGCGTCTGTCCTGTGCCCTTTGTTACATACATGCTATATATATGTATATATATATATATATATATTATCTAGACTTTGGCTCGAATCCTTTAGCCAAGTTTAAGAAATAATCCCGATCTGTTTGAGAACGCGCTCACACAATAGCTAAGCAAATGAAGAGAATTGAAAAGCAAGATGCTCAATAGGGACTTGAAATTTTCAACCTCTACACAGGTAACGGTCTAAAGTTTGGTGTACGCTACTACCATCTTCAATGCTAACATTATCCTAAATGACCAATTGGTGCACGTAGAGAAAATGTTAACTCTTCAAGTCGTCAAGATTTATTTACGTCTTGCTTTGGCATATATATAAATCGCACTTATGTTGATAGAAATTTGCGGCTAACTTGTTTTCTGCAACAATATTTTTGAGACTACCTAGTATTTGTTTCAAATGATGAGGCAGCCAAGCCCTCACCTTAAGGCCAAAATGTTTTATTATTTTTTTCAAAAACTTTCTATAGTAAATTTTTTACATTTTCAATGATATGTTTAAAGAAAACAAAAAAGGAAAAAAAAACCTGAATACATACCGCAATAAAACCCATACTAAATGGATTTTAATAATCGTTTTAAGTAATTATAGTTAATTGCTTCGTATGTATAAACTATTACTTTGTGGTGTAATCTCTTATGGCCAATGACAATGATGTTAGTATATCGCTATTGCCGCTCATCGAAAACGTTATCAGATTTTTTTCACTCTTGAGTAAGTACTGTTGCAAGATCTGTTCGTCTTGCCTTCTAGATTTTTTTTAAAAATGACGACATAAACCTAGAAATTAAGTCTTGTCTAGTTTTCGTTATTTTCCACTTGCCCATTATATAAGAGTATATTTGTAATACCCGAGGAATGCGCATTGGATATATTAGAAGATATACATCGATAGAGTTAATATATTTGTATATACTTTATAGGAGTTAAGTTCAAATGTTCAGCGTAAGCTTTATTCATAGGAATTTACTGTTGCTCAATACATTTCCTTCCCTTTCGAATGCATCAAAACAAATAAAAGAAATGACAAGTAGCAAAATTAAATTTGGACGATAATACGAGCAGAGACAACTCAGACTCTGTATAGCATTTATCAATGAATCTAAAAAATGTAGTTAGTTCATAATAAACAAGAAATCAAAAACAAAAAGGAGGAAAATTAGTTTCGTTCGGGAGCAAATCTTTTATACCCATCACCGATTACCCACAAAAGAGAGAAAAGAAGTAAAAGAATAAAATTCGAATGCTCTTTAATGCGCAGTAGGCGAAATTGATTTCTTCAATACATAACAACTTATACTTTTACTCGTATTGACAAGTGTATTAATGATTTTAAAAATGTGAAAACCAAGTCAAGAGACAATTGGAAAATGTTGTGTCATGCTTCTATATATAAGGCCAAATATAGGAAATTCCAAAGTCAACGCCATTTCGAATCAATATAAAGGAAAAATCTTTATTTCAAGTCTTTTTTTTTACAAGTTTTGGTCGTACAAAAAAATTTTGAAATTAGTCTCCCCTTGAATATGGTGAACGGCGTCTGAAGTCTACAATTCTTTCTAATCATTTTCTCTCTTTAGTGTTGGAATTTGTGCTTATAGGCCTTTTTGCAACTCTGTTCCTAAGTGTTGATATTTTGTTTCTATTTAAAATATCGCATGATATAAAAAATAATAATTCTTGTATGCTATTTAAGTATTCATTTACATAATGCTCCAACTTATTACTCATAACATATTCAAAACATGTTTACGTACAATTATGGATATAACAAACAAATAAATGTGGCATCAGATAAAATTACAGCTTCTTAATGTTGAAAGGCAGTTTCTTTAACTTTCAGATGTCTTTAAAATTTCTTATTTTCGGGTAAATTAATTTTATCAATTATAGAAACGCACACTAACAAAGCCACGAAATAATAAAAGCAGATCCATTCATTTTAAATGTAATTTTTCAATGGAAATTGTGCGAACTTCGTTACCGGGAAGAGACTTGGCAAGGGAACTTCATGGTACAGCCCACTCATTTTTCAACCTTATTAAGCTTGTTTCATTTATTAGAGTCCTTATACTTTTATAATCCTACTGTAAGCCATTTAAAAGGGATACCAGCAATATTTCAATTAATAAATTATATAACTTTATAATTTTCCTAGTCGTACACAAATTGAATCTTTTTTCTAATTGCTTTTATAACTAAAATACGTTAGTCCAGTTAATCCAACGCTTTCCCTTATTCAGTGATTGTATTCGGTTTTACGGTTGGATATATTTCAGCAAATAAGGAGAAAGGGGGAGAATCCTGAAAGTCTTTTGAAACCGCTACTGTCCCTTCTTTTAGCAAAAATCTAAACCTAAACAATGTTAGATATCCTAGAATCGTGATTTTTCGCTAACTAAGTCCCCAAGTAATGTAGGGAAAAAACACTTGATCTCTCTTTATATCGGTAAGAAATAGCTGAGTTCTTTTTATATAGTTGCCATAGATATTAAATACTCAAGTTGTGAATGTTAACCGTGCCTGAAGAACCTTAAGAACCATCTTGCCTTCGACTCTTAATTCCGGGATCTTTCCTTTTATGTACATTTTCGTATATCTACTGTCAGCAGAGTGTAGTTTAACTGATATAATAGTAAGCAAACGTGTACTATTCCTAAAAAGTATGTTAATAGTTCATGTTAAGTTACTTTTCGTACAATAAAAACAATTTCGGACTTTGAAGTGGCAAGTAACTGAATCGTTTCTCTATTTTTATTTGAGCTGATGCCTACCTAAGTGGTGAGTTTCAATAATTTTTTGCCTTCTTAGCAAAGTTGTAAACCTAAATATGTGCATTGTTTTAGGGGTAACCTTCTCCTCGAGTATAAATTCCATGATTAATGTGAAGTAAAACATCTGAACGATCTCTTTGTACTAGTAATTGAACAGCTGCGCTATTTTCACATTAAATGTTCTTTATTTAAGTAATGAATGCAAGCCTTTAACAAACATCGTTTCCTAAATTGCAAAACATTGAAGCTCCTAGCCTAATATCCGTTGCCTCTTTTGCCATTTTATTGCTGCGGCTTAGTAGTAGAAGTTGCTTACGTTTCATTACAGAAATTCATCGAACAAGAACAAATTCCACAATTCCCCTAGAAAATATACGACCATCGATAGTTTTCTATGTGCACTTGAACTTGAACATTTATCTTCAGAGATCAACTTGAACAGTTATCACAAATGCTGACGTCTTATCAAGTATTTTATTAATATATTTATTCATCATTTTAACTGGATGTTTTTTGAATTGAAGAGGAAGCTTCTAGTGTGAACTTAACAAAGGTGGTTTTGTTTTCCTCTTTTTACGTTACATTGTAAAAGTGAATAAATTTAAATAAAAAAAAATAAAAAATTGTTTCATGAACTTTGTGAACGAAATGTTACATAATATATAACACTAAGTGCTATTTAGTGAAAAATTGAAAGGAAAAATTATTTTAAATTAAAAACAATTAAAATTAATAAGGTAATGAACAAAATATGTCCAATTAATATTTCATAGATCAATAATTAAACTGTTTCACCTTAAATTACATTTTCATGATGAAACCGGTTTAAGTTAAAATAATAATTAATAAATAATTGGCTGTCTCTGCAGTTACGATCTATATAAAGATATTGGAAATTATTTTTAATAACCTATCGTGAGGGCATTAAATTACGTGCACGTATTAGGGAGCGAAAGGCAAAACTTGGAGCTTATGATATCCAAGACCACGATATTTATGGTATACTACGTTATGCAAGATTCTACGATCGTATCTCTACCCCGATAAATGATTCCTTTCTAAATACACATTACGGTGTGAAGGCGAA